CCGCCCCGCCATACACACACACATTTGTAAAGCACGTGGAACTATGTTGCTCAACCAGTTCCATCCCATCTCCTCTGTTCAAGGATGTGTACCCATCTTGGACAGCAGAATGGCATATTTGAGGACTCATTAAATTTTGGAGGGACTGGAAGCGCCCTCAGCTGGTTAGTGCCAGAACTCCGCCTGGGAGCCCCGTTTCCTGGAGGTAAGCCAGCAATCTGCTGATCCTGGTGAAAATCAGCATGCTGTCTACATTGCAAAGATAAACCTGTAACAACAGGCCAACAAACAGTGCAGCCACTATCTAGGAATATTAAAATACGACATCAAGCATGAAAGGAAGCTTTCCTCCACCTGAAAACAGGATCCTTTCGCATTACTGTCTGCCCACACTTCATTTCCATGCATCTTAGAACAAAAGCGAACAGCAAAGCCTGAAAGTAAGGCTAGGAGCAAAAACAAACAAACAAAAATGGTTATATTTAGGTATTTTGTTCACAAATATGGTTTAAACATTTGAATTAAGTCAGTGACCTTTGGTCTTCAGGTAAAAGAGATGTGAATCATCTTACACACCGGGAAGAAATCCAACTACACAATGACAAACCAGTGTAGTGGAACCTGACTCTTCTCACAACCCACACCCAGTCTGCCAGCAAATGCTACCTGTTTTACTTTCAAAATTATCCAGAACCCAACTACTACTACTACTACTACTACTACTACTTCTTCTTTCTTCTTCTTTCTTCTTTCTTCTTCTTCTTCTTTTTCTTCTTCTTCTTATTCTTTTTTCTTATTCTTATTCTTATTCTTATTATTTTTAAAAGGAACCCTGGAGGTGTGGCTCAGTTGGATGTAGTGTCATCCCATACACCAGAAGGTGGTGGGTTTGATTCCAGGTCAGGGCATATACCCAGGTTTTGGCTTCCATCCTTGGTAAGGGCATGTGCCAGAGGCATCGACTGCTGAGTCTCTCTCACATGGATGTTTCTCTCTCTCTCTCTCTCTCTCTCAAATCAATTAAAAAAAATATTACAATACCTTTCTACCTGGTCTCCCTCTTCTCCCCTTGCTCCAAACATCTATTCTCAACACAGCCACTAGAGCTACTCTTTTGAAACATGTCCTTTGCTTAAAACCTTCCAGTGACTCCTCAGTTACTCAAACAAAGTCAAAGTCCTTATGGTGACCGAGAACACTGTGTAACCTCTTCAATCCACCTGCACGTGTCCCTATGGCTTCTGTGACCTTCTCTCGTACCACTCTCCTCTTAGGTCACTCTGCCCCAACCACATTGGCCTCCTGCCTGAACCTCAAACAAGCCAGGTGACCCTTGCCCCTCTACTGGAATGCTCTTCCCCAAGCTATCTCTACAGCTTGCTCCCTGCCTCCCTCAGATGATTATCTGTCAGCCAGGCCTTTCCTGACCACCTATCTGACATGGTATATATTATCTATTTTGTTTATTATCTGTCTCCTTTCACCAACAAATAAACTCCATGAGGGCAGGGACTTATGTCTACATTTGCTTCTATGCCTAGAAAACTACTGATGCATTATATTCAAAGACAGTGCCTTTCTTCAGTCTAAATCAGGGGTGGGCAAACTTTTTGACTCGAGGGCCACAATGGGTTCTTAAACTGGACCGGAGGGCCGGAACAAAAGCATGGATGGAGTGTTTGTGTGAACTAATATAAATTCAAAGTAAACATCATTACATAAAAGGGTACGGTCTTTTTTTTTTTTTTTAGTTTTATTCATTTCAAACAGGCCGGATCCGGCCCGCGGGCCGTAGTTTGCCCACGGCTGGTCTAAATACATCAACATAATCATTATTTCCCTTTCATTTTTATTAAACTTTTGTTTTTTTTTATCTCTAATTCAAAGGGCTTCAGTTATATTCCATCTGTATTTTTAACAAGCTCTCTCAAATTTGGAGGGGGCAGTATACAGGATAAATAAACATGAAAAATTAATTTTGTATTAAATTCAGGATGTATACTATCCATTCATGCATATAAAAAATAACTCTAGGGCTTAGAATCATGTTGGAATGTAATTACTTATTCTGAGACTATAATTGAAAACATCTTTGAAGTTGGCACACTTTAGGCAAGATTAAGTAGTTGTTATAGTAAACAATAACTATAAAAAAATAAGTGTTGAGTTGGAAAAACCTTCTTACTATTAGGCACACTAGAAAATCAGTTCCACTCAGGTCATAAAACAGGTCTTCATTTTGTCTTTCGTGCTCGTAGACTCTCTGTAAAGCAAAAACAAACACACCCACAAAAAATGCTAAATGAAAATTCATCAGCTTTACAGTTTCCATTTAAGTAATAAGGAATTTCACATATTGAATGTTTTTCTTAAGCTTGAGTCCCCTATATGCATGGGTGATAAGCAATTCCCTGCAGAGACGTGAGGGGACCCCTACTCAACTCTGAATGTCTCTCAACAAGCAGGTATAACCTATGTTGTCTTCTCTAATTCCTCTTTTTTCTTCAATATTTTGGCTTAATGTTTGCTGAAAGCATAACAGAGAGAGATGGCTTCATCCCGATACATTCTAGGGGTCAACAATATTTGTCCTAAAGAGCCATCACCAGCCTTTTCAGGGTCCCTTCCTGATCCCACAATGGTGACTGTTTCCACTTCCTATTTAGTCCTATTGTGTTATTCTTTCTTCATCAATCAATGCACTCAAAAAGTAATTCATGACACCTAAATAATGTGTCACACGTCTAGATCAATGTATTTCACTTTGCAGGTCTACTTCTATTTCAGGAAAAAAAATGCTTTAAACAGAGGAATACATTTTCCATGGAGAATCCCAGGCATTGCTCAGCCAATGGAAAAGTGTTCTTACAGGCTCCCAAGAACACAAGCCTGGGGAAGCCCTCGCTACCTTGTTCAAAGCTGCTTCATTCAGGATGAGGCCGGGCCCCCAAAATTATGTTCCTGACTGAGCTCTTCTGCTCACCTCATTGTACATTTATTTCCATTTGAATCTCATTTAGTTTATTTGATGATTTCTGGTCTTTTCTGCTTTGATGCCTTTGCTTCCCGCTACAGAACATGCTTATTATCTCCCACCCCACTCTCCCTCTAATTAATTCATATTCTTTAGGACCGAGTTTAAACATTGCTTCCCCTTAGAAGAATTCTCTGACTCTCCAGAGCACTTTGGCTGTGCTTACAGCTCTGCCCTTCTCCTTTGCAACCTTGAAGTCCATTGCATTGACTACCTTGAGGTTGGCCTTTGACTCCACTAAGCTCTGTCAAAGGAAGGACTGTGTTATCTTGTCCATCAGATGTCCCCAATGACTAGCACAGTGCCTGACACAGAATAGTGTTTAATATACATTTTGAATGAATGAGTGATATCGCCCATGAGTGTATTCCTCATAATGGATAATGAATACCCATTGAATGAGGCAACGTTTTTCAACCTGGAGTTTGTTTTGAATGAGTGTATGTTTTGCAAAGTGCTTATGGCAAAGCTTTTTTAACAGCTTTATTGAGGTTACATTTTCATGCCCTAAAATTCGCCCACTTTAAGTGTGCAATTCAAGGATTTTTAGTAAATGTACTGAGTTGTGAGAGCAATGCCACAATTTAAGAACATTTCCATCATATACATTTGCTGTCACTCCCCATTGCCACACCCTACCCTCTAGCCCCAGAAAACCGGTAGCCTACTTTCATCTTTATAGATTTGGGCAAAGCATTTTAATAGGTTGCATATTCAAAATTAGTGACACAGTTTATAATATAACTTACATCTATCATAAAAAAAAGAAATCCATTCAAGGCGAATGAGGGAAAAAACACCATGCTCCAAAGCGAGGCAGATGACAGGGAGTGACTTACTATAACCAAGTCTAACAAGCTGGATGAGGTCTACAAGGCAAGTTGAAATATATTACATGTCAGACATACTCAGTCCATTGATATCTGAGAAAACATTTAAGATGTAGATATTCTTATCCTACATATCAGAATTTTCCTATATGCAGACACAACCCTTTCAGAAGGAAGAGGGAAAGGATATGCTTTTATTAATGAGAATATATATGACCTTATGAAAAATCCATATTGCCTCTCACTTTGACTGAAATTTTCAAATTGTCATATACCTTCTCCATTAATTCACCATTCCAAGTAAATGATGTTTTGGAGATTGTGCATTATGATTGCAAAATACTCATTTTCTTGTAGATTACTGGTAAATGTTGAGGTGGAGATTAAAAATAATATTTTGTTTTTGTTTTAAGGATCAGTTTATCAGTCAATAAGTATGTTTTAAACACTTTATTAAACCTTTGCTGGGTCTTATTAATGTATTAATTATAATAAAACTGGTAAGAATCATAACTACTCAATTCATTGTATATTACACAAATGACCAGGCATTAAGAACTAAGCATATACTATTTGCTTTAATCCTCACAATGACTCTACCATGTATTCTTCTTATCCTTCCCCTTTTATATATGGGAAATCTAGGGTCCAGAGACATTAAATAACATCCTCAAGATGACACATTTAGTGAGGAATGAAGCTGGAATTCAAAACTCTGGGTGGGTGCAATGATTGCTAAGTCTTTATGTCAGAAAATTATGCTGACATAGGTTGCATATTCAAAATTATAACAAGACATCCTATATAATAAAAGAGTAATATGCAAATTGACCCTAACAGCAGAACGACCAGGAACAACTGGTCACTATGATGTGTACTGACCACCAGGGGGCAGACGCTCAATGCAGGAGCTGTCCCCTGGTAGTCAGTGCGCTCCCACAGGTGGAGCTCCGCTCAGTAACAAGCCGGGCTGATGACTACGAGCGCCACAGTGGTGGCAGGAGCCCCTCCTGCCTCCTTGGCAATGCTAAGAATGTCCAACTGACAGCTTATAGGCCCGCTCCTAAGCCATCAGTTGGACAACCCCCAAGGGCTCCCGGGCTGCCAGAGGGATGTCTGACTGCCAGGTTAGGCCCAATCCCCCCGGGAGCGGGCCTACGCTGGCAGGTCGACATCCCCCGAGGGGTCCTGGGCTGCCAGAGGGATGTCTGACTGCTAGCTTAGCCCCAACCCCCTGGGGAGCAGACCTAAGCCAGCAGGTGGACATCCCCTGAGGTGTCCCAGGCTGCAAGAAGGCGCAGGCCGGGCTGAGGGACTCCCCTGAGTGCACGAATTTTCGTGCACCGGGCCTCTAGTTGTTATATAAAAGGGAATGTTATCTTTGCTACTAAATAAATTTAAAGTTTTGGGGAAATGTGTAATCTACCTTATCAAAAACAATTGGGGAAAAAACCCAAAAACTTAAAATCAAGTATTTAGTAAGAAGGGCACAATAAGCATTTTGGATAGCCAACCCAAAAGACTTCTCTCATTTTACAACTGCTGTGATCTCCTTGCAAAGGTATTGCACAACTGTCCATGTTTACACATTTCTTTTAGTTTCCATGACATCACACTTCTCTATTTTTTCTCCTAGCTCCTTATTTTTGATAACTATGAGTCCTTTAGTCCACTTAGCTGACTCTGCTTATTCTATGAGGACTCCAAGTTTCTGCTTTTGTGACCTGTTCTTTTCTTCCTTTCTCATCCACTGGAACAAGAGAAGATGCCAAAATGCATTAAAGGAAATGGCCCAGTGTGCTAAGATGTGCGACTCCACTTTCACCATTGGGCTGAAATATGGGTGACAGGGTGCTTCCTCCTCCTTCGACAAGGGCCTAAGGTACCCATGCAGTGCCATACCCTTTCGGGTACAGGAGTGCATTGTATTCTAGAAACTAACTGTTGACTGTGGCTTCACTCAGTGATGGGGAGACATTGCCTATACCGTCCTTCCAAGTAAATCCAAGGTCACTAAAGGACAACTGTACTGCCCATCAGCATTCCTGTAATAAAAAATCACCTCAGCCCTAAGACTGGCATGGTTTAAACTTATATTCACTGTGTGATGAAAGATCAATTATCACAGTAATTAGCCTCAATACCGATTTTGAATGAAATTCTAAGTTCTTTGTAGCAGACATAAAGTTACTGTAAACTGCATGAGGTTTCTGTGAAGATGTATTTTAGCTTACTAAAATCAAGATGTTGATCAACACAAACTTGACATCAGTATTGTCCACCATGTTACTAGCTCATATTTTTTTGACTTGAAGAATGACATAAGGTCTGAGATCTCAGGTTTCTTCATGAGTCTATCACTATTTTTTGTGTGACCTTAAACAAGTTGCTTAATTATTTTCATTCTAAAAATATGAGGGGAATTAAATTAGATAATCTTGAATTTTTTCAAACCTGACATCTCAATATTCCATTAACAAGTAGCTTCTTTTAAACAGTATAAAAATAAAATAGACAAGTGCACTAAAATAGATAAATATGAAAAAGAAGAAAAAATCAGAAATTATGTAATTTTTTTACATTTTGAACAAAAATCCTTGTTTTAAAAAGTTGACTTTGCCTCTGCAATACTGCCTTATTTTAAAACATAATAATTCAAAACTAGTTGGCAGCAAAGGAAAAAATGGTATTCAATCATATATAGATATAATTCTATTTGAAAAATAGTGTTTCAGAGTCTCATGTTCAACTCTCTGCTGTGGTCCTTTATTTGCTATAGTCTGTTCCCATCACAGTGAGAACATCTTAATCCACAAACATTTGTCTACAAACCCAATAGAAAAGGTGTTCTGCATTATCATGACTTTCCCTAGAAACAACGTCAGATTTCTTCATTTGTGCATTTAGGCACTTGCAGCTGGGGAATTATGCAAGAGGAACTCATTACGTGAGAATGCAGAACCTATTTTGCCTTCTACCAGGTATTGAAAGAACTTTGCCTCGTTAGACTTTTGCCCCTGATTATATATATCAAATATTAGGCAAAATGGTCTCTACTCTGTAAGCCAAGAAATGAAAGCTATTGTTCTGAAAGATCATGGTGTTTCAAGTTCTGAAAGAATGCCTTTTCTGAAAAAATTCCATCCACATTTTTGTCCAACCCAAAACATCACTATGGAGCCTGCATCCGTGAGAAGAGGGCCCACTGAAGGCTGAAGGATAAGGGGTGGAGGTATGGTTCGCCTGTTGATGCAAGTGCTCCCCTACCTGAGATATTGTCAAATCTATACAAACCAGGATGAATTGTGAGTATAAGGTAAACCAGGGGCTGATTTTTCACTTGACACAAAGCAAAAAATACATTCACATAGACTTGTATTAGTCCCAGTCTGGAATGGCTTCTATTTAAGAAGAACCAACACAAGAATGGGAAAGTCATTACTGGAGGCTGCCGATTGCTTAGGACTGAAGGACAATAAGTGTAAAGAGTGTCTATGCGGGAACTCACTAGGAGATTTCGAGCCTCAGTTAGGCTGGCAGTAATAGACATGTCAACAGTCATATTGGCCAATAACCCTGACATTGCTGGGACATCAGCTCTGAAAAAGACTTTCATTCAGAGTTGAAATGACTAGAAAACACAAAGTATGAACACAGATTCTTCGTTAACCTTTGCTGGACATATACAAGAGCGCTGACGGAAAAGAAATCAACTATTAGACTCTCTTCTGCTAACATCTGTGCTGCCTACACAACACCTGGGTTTACATTGGACAAAGGCAGTGAATCTGTTGACTGAACAAAACGCCCTCATGCGAAGTATGAAAGCAAAGACATTTGGTGCATCAGATCCTCATGACTGCCTCAAAGCCAGTCTTCTGAGTGAGGTATCTCTATACATCTTTCTGTAACTTCTGAGCTTGTATTGATTTGTCCTGATGGTGGTAAGAGGGGTAGTAACAGATATTATCTACTGCATACGGAGAAATACAATTAGAGAAGCCAAATCAGAAAACTGTCCTCTGAGAAGGGATAAGTCAACAGCTACCTACTAACAAGATAGTCTAAGGCTAATTTCTCACAGAAGTCAGTGGGCAATGTGAGATGTATTTTCTTAGCAGACCGCCTCTGGTTGGGTTCAGGACTTCAACTTCAAGATTTGGGGGGTGAGTATGTCAGCTAAACCTAAACCTAAAGAGTTGGGATTAGACACACTGGGTGTTCAGCATCTTGGTAAACATTTCCATCCAAGTTTTCAGTAATTTTGGAATCATTCATTCTTATTTACTAATAAATGCTCTGCTGTAGGTATAAAAACATCTTTGATCTCTGAAATTTCTAGCATCTGAAGTTAAAAGACAACTTCTTAAACACTGTAGAAATGAATTGGACTGCCAAATTTTATCAAGCCAATTTTTATCCTAGTATTGCCAGGAAGCCTTGTATTTTGAAGGATTTATAAACTCAATAGTGGCATCCTGAGCTTCAGGTTTTCTGTAAGTTACTCTGTAAACTCTAGTCAAAGAGCTGTAGATGAATTCTCCAGAAATACTGTTGAATCAGCAACATGTTACATTCTCTCTCCTTTCTGTGGTGTAATTTTAAGGTGTTCATTTCCCATTGCTCAGGGCAAAAGTGACTATGTTCCCTGTTACATTGAAAGTTGAAAAAAGAACTCTTATCTCTCTATTGATATATTTGTACGTATACTTACAATAAAGAAACAAAATGACCAAACGCCACTATTTTTTCTTCTCTTGCGAAAAATAAATGATATCACATATGTGAAAAAGATGACAGAAGCTGCATAACCAAATATAATCACAACCTAAAAGGTAATATAAATAATATCAAAGTCAAAAAATAAAATATGAATTGAGGGAACATTTAAATTATAAGTATTTTAAAATATTTTATTGAACATACACTTCAAATGCTTTCTGTTTCCATTAGGGGCAAAATAAAAATGGAAATGTCTTGATTACATAAAATAGCAAATGTTAAAATGTATCATGAATTTACCTTATAAGACAATCTCTATGTAATGCATCACTCACCGAAGCAAACACAAGTCGAGTTGTGAAATAACGGTCCTCTATGTTTTCCAAGCAGAAAATTAAAAACGATGAAGAAAGAAAGAAAGCAAAGAGGCTAATATCCACCAGGGCCTGCCCACACCAGTAGGCCGAAGGGCAGAGGCCTGAAGTCCATAGCTGGGACTTAGTTCTCTTCTGATGGAAAAACACAGGACATACATAGATCCAATTAAAGTCCAAATCCAGAACAAACGCATTGGAAGACATGTCAAATACAATCTAACCAAATACTGTCAAATCTTCTGATAATTTTAATTATGCATATACTGTTCAATGGAATTTAGTGAATTCCATTAAGGTGACCATTTTTGACAGTGAATACTAGTATTATTTCATTATGTAGGTTTGATTCACAACACCCCCTTAACTTATGCATAACAAATAGAAAAGCAGACTTCATCATGATCCAGGAATGAATCTCCTTCAAAAGAAATATCACTTTTGTGACCTGCAGGCCAATAAATTCTCCATTATCCAAATAAACAGGCTCAGAAGGGTGAAGAATGACTCACCTAAATTTCATTGAACTGTTGGACTTAAATAATGGACATAACCAAATACAAATATAACAAAAAAAATTGTATTCCCCACAGTAGAAAAGGGGCTCAAGTCTTAAATCTGATCTTTAATGTCAATATCAATGACTTCTATAGTCAAAAGTTTTATAATATACTCTTTGAAGGATTAGATTAACTTGAATCCCTGTAAAATGACTGTACTTTTCCTTTAATTTTAAAATAAAAAGTATTTTGTGCTTTTAGAAGTAAATTTCTGACTTGATAGAAATAATGCTTAACTACATTATCTAAAATTAAACATATGCTTAAACATTTTCCTCACAGAACTACATTTTGAACACACAGCATTTAAAAAACAATTATTAAAGTTCCTGAAGTCTCTTTTCTTTTCCCCCCTTTTCCTTACTTTGTAATCACTGACACTGCTCATGGCGATGTAAGGAGAAATGCTGCAAACAACGGAAAATAGGAAAAAGGAGCCTTCTGGCAGACCAGTCCAGAAAAACAACCAATTCTGCAAACATAAAAGGCACTGTAAGCTAGTAAATATTTAAAAACATGAAACAAATACGAATAACCATAAAGAATACGCTGTTCAAAATATTTCGAAAAAACAAATTAAAAGTGTACATCTAGATCAGTGATGGCGAACCTATGACACGCGTGTCAGAGGTGACACACGAACTCATTTTTTTGGTTGATTTTTCTTTGTTAAATGGCATTTAAATATATAAAATAAATATCAAAAATATAAGTCTTTGTTTTACTATGGTTGCAAATATCAAAAAATTTCTATATGTGACATGGCACCAGAGTTAAGTTAGGGTTTTTCAAAATGCTGACACGCCGAACTCAAAAGGTTCACCATCACTGATCTAGATCATCAACATCTATGCATGGTGGCAGGGAGATGATTTCTGATAATTTAACATGAAGTTTTAATTCCTAGAAAAAAAAGAGGGGGGAATAAAAAAAATAACTCAGGGCCCACCCACATCAGAGTATATATGAAAATGAATCAAAAGCAGGATCTCAAAGATATATCTGCTCACACACTCCATAGGAGCACTATGCAGAATACCCAAGAAGCAACCCAAATGTCCATGGACAGACAAATGGGTAAACCAAATGTAGAACATACACACAATGGAATCTTATTCCGTTTTAAAAAGGAAGAAAATCCTGGCAATGCTAGGATGAACTTTGGAAGTTGTCCTGGCTCATGGATGAACTTTGAGGAAATTATCCTGGGGGAAAGCCAGTTACAAAAAGACAAACACTATACAACTGTCCTTATATGATGTATCAAAAGTAGTCAAATTTTGTAAAAACAGAAAGTAAAATGGTCATTGCCAGGGTCCGGGGAAGGGAGGAATGAAGAGTTCTTATTTATTTATTTATATATTTATATATTTATTTATTTATTTTAATATATTTTATTGATTTTTTACAGAGAGGAAGGGAGAGAGATAGAGAGTTAGAAACATCGATGAGAGAGAAACATTGATCAGCTGCCTCCTGCACATCACCTACTGGGGATGTGCCCACAACCCAGGCACATGCCCCCGACCGGAATCGAACCTGGGACCCTTCAATCCGCAGGCCGACGCTCTATCCACTGAGCCAAACTAGTTTCGGCAGAGTTCTTATTTAATGGGCATAGCATTTTAGTTCTACAAGATGACAAAGTTCTGGAGACCTGTTTCCCACAATGTGAATATACTTAACACTATTGAACTATACACTTAAAAATAGTTAAGGCGGTAAATTTCATGTTACGTGTTTGTTTGTTTGTTTGTTTGTTTGTTTGTTTGTTTTTTAACAAAATCCAAAAAAAAAAGATTCAAGAATTAGGGTCCTAGAGAAACAGGTGTTTCAGGCTTGAGCAGCAGCGGGTCTTCCTCAGTAAACCCAGGGTCCGTGCAAATTACTGCAGCTGGCGATATGCTGTGAAGCACAGCCCTGAAAGGACAACTCGATACCACCGAGCCCATCTTCAAGGAGATACACTTTAAATCACCACCCCCACGGCCCAGCCGGCGAGGCTCAGTGGTTGAGCGTCAACCTATGAACCAGGAGGTCACGGCGGTTCGATTCCCGGTCATGACACATGCCCAGATTGCAGGCTCGATCCCCAGTGTGGGGCGAGCAGGAGATAACTGATGCATGATTCTCTCTCATCATTGATGTTTCTATCTCTCTCTCCCTCTCCCTTCCTCTCTGAAATCAATAAAAATATATATTTGAAAAAAAAACCAGAGCAAAATTAATCATGCCATGATTACACGGGTGGAAAGAGCAGAAAAGCCAAGGATGATGACGTGAGAAGCCACTGTCACACCTGGGGTGGAGGGATTAAGGGAGGGAGGGATGTGACTGAAGGCCAAGGGGAAGGATCCTTCTGCTGACCCGGCCTAAAGCACTGCTGCCAGCTGGCAGGCCATAGTATAGGCAGCGGACTAAGAGTCATGAGAACACAGTCTGTGTGTACCAGACCCCCTCACCCCCATGCAGAGCCACTGTGGGTGGGTGAAGGAATTCATCAGGACGAATCTAGCCCAAGAACTGGCAAATTTTCCTTCAAAGCAGTCAATCGACTACCCATTTAGTCAATGAAGGGTTCACCAACAAATTATATTAGAAATATAAGATTCTAAAACAAGTGTTCCTGATTTCTAAGTCAGTGTGTGTGTGCACACACATGCACAAACGTACGCGTGCGTACACACACACATACACACACACACACACACACACACATCTCATTCTCTCTCCAATATACTCATGCAATCAACTATGAATCTTTTTAGAAGACTTTCTGAGAGACTGTGACATACTATGGAACAGTATTCTCCCATGAGAATTCTTTGAGCATAATGAAGGGGGAAAATCATATTCTGTTAGATACAATCTGTTTAAAATATAAGGCCAAAGTTAATTTTTTAGGGTTAAGAATCAATTATAAATATGTAAAAGCTAAAGAAGGAACACACACAGGGGACTTGTCAAACTGCTAATTGTTCGGAATGAGTAAACCCAATACTTACTAGACGTAATGCGCTTCTTAGAGTTCGAATCTGTTGTGTATGGTTAAACATTCCAAGCAGCGCATTGCTGATAATATTCATAAGAATAGGAAAACATTGCAGCCCCTTGGTATTGCATACAACTGAGAATCTATAATCCTTCAAATAAAATAAAACAATGTTAATGCTGAATAATTAATGAACAATAAAAAAGGTTTTGTATATAAAATCCTAACAGTGCCATTTTCTAGCTGTGTGACCATCTTCACATTAACTGACTTCTCTGAGCGACAGCATCCTCATCTGTGATAGGGTAAATACAATAAATGGGTTGTCGTATGGTTTAAATGGGACAATGTATATTATATTAGGCCCTAGCACAGTCAGCAATATGAATTTGTAGCAGTGTTACTAATTTTAGAACATTTTGTCCTCATTTTGTGGATAAAGACATTTCAGCTGATGGGATTTAAATGTGGCCCCGATGAGGAAACACAGCCCGTTGGCAGTGAGCAAACGAAGGAACTCTGTTTTTGTGGACAGGAAATAAGCATGAGGTTCATCAAGTATTCATGGCTACACGGCCAATGGAGCATTTTCACACTTCCTAGGACAATGTTTATGTTCTCCAGGTTGATGAAAATGTTCACACATTCATCAATGTTCTTTAAATATTACCAAGGATTCATGTAATAAATACGTTGGATGAGTAACAAATAAAGCAACTACCAGGCAATGCAGTGTCCCACACTGAGACAACATTTTGCATGGTGGACTTAGGTAGAACTGAATTCAATGCTATCTCTTCAAAGGTCTTTGTTTTCTCTCCTTGTGGCAAGAAAAAAAGAGGGAGCTTCACATACTTTGGCTCCGTTTTTCATTGGAATGCAAGGAAGACTGAGTTTCCTTATGATTAGAATGCATGTTCAGTAGGATCATGGAAGGATCTCTATGATAGAATTTAATATATTTTCTAGTCAGAACTTTTAAGTTTGAATAATGCAATTATATTCAGCTACTTTGAAATGTAAAAAAAAAATCGTCTATTTCAAAAGTTAAGATAGAAAATGTTTTATGAACACTCCTTTAAACTTCACAGGTTATTTAATAATGACCCAAATGTTGTTGAGCCCAGTTGCTAAGGCTGAAGTTCCACAGTGTTAAGACAGTTAAAATGTAGCACTTTATTGTTTTTCATGAAAGCATAACCAAGAAGCAAGAGGCAAACACACCTTTTGTTTCCCAGCAACTATGATAGCTCCGTTGTAGGACAGATCATCAGGGCTATTTCTATTTACAAAGTCATCGATTTCCAACAGTATATTTTGATGCTTCAGTGACTGTATAAAATCTTCAATGTTGGATTCTAGTATTATATCAACAACAGAAGGCCATATAAAGCAAGAACATATATGTCGATTTAAAAAAAATAAGCCACATACACAATTTATATTATGCATAAAGGCACGTCTCTTTGGGCATCACAATAATAATACTGGCCTATAAAAGAGGACCCATTCTACCATCTTCTAGACATCAAATCTTACTCTGTGATGAGTTAGCTTTATGATCCTATTTCATGCAAGTTAACGTGTGACCATTAAGACAATATAATTCCATTTTATGACTCTTGGTTAAAAAAATACAATTTAACTCAACAATCTGTGGAACTACAATAATTGTATGAGGAGTACTTCAAATTGGCTAGCCTAAAATTCCTAACAATAGCACTCCCCTTGCTCCCTTATTCTCCAAATAACAGAAAAGTAAATGCATTTAGCTGAATGTATGAATGTGTTTTAAAAGATGAGTGTATTTTGCGTATTTTCATATGTATTACATGCATATATATTACATAGCTATATTTTTTGTTAGGAAGTGGGAAATGAAAAGAGTGCCACTATCAGGACACAGTTGTCAATAGGCTCCTAACGATGAAAACAGATAAGTAAGAGCTGAGAAAAACCTATAGCCTCGCTCACACAGGAGCCAACAACTGTAAAGGCTGCTGTAACAAAGAGGTCTCAAAACTGAGTGGTTTAATCAATACAGAAGTTCCTCCTTCACATAATAGCTCAGGGTCATCAGGCAGATATGCCAGTCTTCTCTACCAGGTTATGTAGTGACCCAGGATGCTTCTTCTTTGTCCCCCCCTTTCCCCCAGCACCTCTAAACTCGGAGCAAATGTACACAGTTCCTCAAATTTTCTTTTCTTTATTTTAATATGTTTTTATTGATTTCAGAGAGGATGGGAGAGTGAGAGAGAGAGAGCGAAACATAGATGATGAGAGAGAATTATTGATCGGCTGCCTCCTACACACCCCCTACTGGGGATTGAGCCCGAAACCGAGACATGTACCCTGATTGGGAATCGAATCGGCTACTTCCTGGTTCATGGTTCAACCACTGAGGCACTCAGCTGGGCTAGAAATTGTTTTCTATTCATAAAGTCTAAATACACAAATTCTTCTCTTACGATTTGCTTTTCCTCCCTCTACATAAAAATAACTTATTTCTAGATTTAAATTGTGTTTTTCTGTTCACCTGTGTTATTGATGATCAATAAGCTGGTCAGAGGGTCTTGAGGAAGTTGCCCAGGAGAGAGGAAATACAATCCAGGTTTAAATTCCCATTCACTTTTTTTACTTAATACAGCATCAAATATCAGTTCCACAATCAATGGGAACAGTGCAATTCCAAATACCAATAGCCTACCAATAAAGAAAAGTCACCATATGAATCTCTAGCAATTTCATTTATTCCATCAGACATTTCACAAATATTTGTAGAATATCAACTTTTATGCTAGCCATAAGGATGAGTGCTAAAATTCTGAAAGTCATACCTTACATTGCCCCTCAGTACAAAAGGCTTTTCTATATAAACACCAGGTGTTCAAACTATGAAGACTAAACAGATCTGTGTATAAGGCTAATCAAATGCTCACATACGGCTATTCCCACCGGCAGTAAACTCAAAGGCTGCATTTATCTATCCTCTGGCAGGAATGTTGGGTATTTCATTCTAGCTTTAAATTTTATTCTGGTTTAACCCTTTCTTGAAACTCACTATCCAAGAAAACCACAGCACTCTGATACTTACAGGGTCAACAGCGTTTTCTTTCCACATTTTAACTTTAAGAAACGGAGCCGTGCCACTGCACAGATCTGCATTCTCCAGAGTTCCAAGTCACTCACAGGGAAAGGAGGGCGAGCCAGCTGCATCTGAGGCAGGCTTTCTGCGTCTCTCATCTCTGCTTGTTCAAAATAAACACACAGGCATGCATGCTCGTCCACACACATGCACGCACACACACACACACGCACGCACGCACACACATGTACTAATTATTAATGACATGCTTGGGTCATCACAGTTTTCTCTTTTTAGAGAAAACATGTTTTAGGATATTTGTGGTTATAAAACAAACAATATAAGCACCAGGTTATGTTTATCATGTCGACATTTAATAAACCCACTGATAAAATACTCTGAATGCATATCAAAAGAAGACTTCAGTCAAGGGTGATCTCATCATGCCATCTTTAAAAAGGCACAGAAAATCCTATATGTAACATTATTCTAAGACATTTCAAGAAATCTTCTCCAGAGAAGTAGCCAAGGTACATTGATGCCTAAATGCCTACTATTACGCTATCAATCATTTAGAAGTCCAGGTGAAAAGCCACCAGCTCTGAAACCACAAGACCGGCACCTGATTTCCAAATATATGAATTTCAAGTGGTATAATTTGGGGCAAATCACTGAACTGCTCTTAGGTCTGATTTTCTCAGGTGTAAAATGGTGCCAATGCCACTTGTTTGAATGGTTCTTGTAAGGAAAGCAATGCCATTCAGCCACACATTCATCAAAGTGTCTGGCATAAACCCTCCATAAATGACAGCCCTTACTATGATCACCCATTAAAGTACACAAGAGCTGATCCTAGGTCTTTCTTCCATTGAGACCTTAGTGAAATTTTGTCTATGAACAACTAAGAGCAATTTTTATATGATATATCTGCTTAGAGTTCATGACCTCGACTGAGGGCCTTTCACATCCTCAATGTATCCAAGAAGTGAGTAACAGAGGATAGAAGAAAACTGCCCAAAAAGGAGACATATACTAGTAGTTTCTTAAGAAAAATTTGGTGTATTCCAAGAGGAGTCTGTGTTCAGTCCTAGTAAGATGTTAGGAAACAAGGCCTGCTCTTCCCAAACAGCAGAATCAGATTTGGAACTAGTCCCTTTCTTTAGCATTAATTAGGTATAAGCATTATAAATACTAAATTGCTATATAATCATTGGCAAACAGATTTTATATGAATTATACAAATGAATGTACCTTGCTCGACAGTTGGTATTTCTTCCACTTTCTTGAAGACTTCATTCAGGGTTGACACAGCAATGTCATAACTCACCACACCCTGGACGGAACCCTTATCAAGATCACTGAAAAGGTCTAAGGCAACAGACAGGAGTAGATACATTTGAAATAGCATATGGATAACTAACCCTAGTGAATTAACATATTTAAACGATGATGCAGAATACTGCTCATAAAGTTTACATCTTTGCAATATCTCAATAAGGAAAACCAAAATTTTACTGGAATGCTCTTCCCTTCTGAAATGAATATATCAGACTTCTCATTTTATCCTCACACTGTCTGCACTCTATCTTCTGCTCTCAGCCCATGAACTTCCTGTAGATATTTTTTAGGAAATATCTCCTCTACACCACAAATCAACGTGTAGTTCTACCCATATTCTGGGTCTTTCTTCTGTACAGGTAGAAGACTTGTAGCTGCTCCCACCAAACGCTACCTTTCAACTTGTGCTCTTTGGACATCTCAAGGACTTCCCAAAATAAAACTGCTTTCTCTCTCTGTGTCTTCCTCCCTCCCTTTCTCCCTCCCGCCATCCTTTCCTTCCTCCCTCCCTTCCTCCCTCCTCCTTTCTTTCTCCTCTCTTCCCTACTGGTTCTTCTAAGCATCCGTTACCAAATAAATTGCACTAAAATCCTCCTCTCAAGTGCTGCTTCTTAGGAAACCCAACCTAAAATGAAATCCAAGTCCATTAAACAATAAAGTTGTAATAATGTAAGTACTTATCCCCCAAATTTCATTCTATTGAAATCATATTTAAGTTACCTGGAAATTTATCTGTCCTTTCTGCAGGCAAAGTATACACAAGCTTTTCTTTGCTTTCTGTCTTTAACTTAGCATCCGGGACATGATGATTAATGAAAGATGTTATTCTTTCTGGGTCACATATTTCATTTCTGTACAGACTAATGTTTGAAAGAAAAGACAATTCATTTGTGTTTCCTCCAGTGCTATCACAAAAGAAGAGCTTTCTACTGAATAGCTAACCTTTGAGTACTTTACTTGGCTTTTAGGGAACAAACAAAATGAGTAAATAATAATAATAATAATAATAATAATAATAATGCCATTGATTAGAAAAATCTTCTGATCTATACAGAAGTGTCTAATCTCAGAGCTAAATTTTACAAACAAATGCATGATGGATTTGAAAGCTGATGTATATCAAGTAGGAAGACAAACAGAGGGAGGTGAGGACATTAGACAGAAGAGACTTCTTAGGAAAAATCATTATTAGACCAAACCGTGTAGCTACCAGAAATTAGTGCCTAACAGAAAAACCTGGCCAACGAGCCACAGTTTGTGTTTTAAATGCTTTCTGCCTGGAAACACTTTCTCGGTAGACATAGTCCTCTTTACTCACTGCCACCAGATTGACTCTCATTTTTGATACTAGCTTCTGATATTATTTGATTTTGTGCCCTATGAAAGAAGGAAACGATGTCACAGGATTGTATGGATCAGCTGGGGAAACTGGAGGGTGGAAAGTGGTCCATGAAGCAGCCCTGCTATGATCTATCAGCCTGGGCTGATAATTTTGCAATTTTGATTATCATAATGGATGCAGGAAAAATATTTGGGAAACAATGATCAATACAGGTTGGCAGAGCTAAACTAAGCACAAGGTCAAATCCCTCTCATAATTGTCTACCTTTCTGATATACCAATATTAAAATATCTCTGTGTGTGTGTACACGTAATTTATCTGCAAATTTTTTACCTTAAGTGATATCCAAGACCCCATTTTCTCTTCAGAAAGCCAGAAGAGCCTGCACACTTCAATCTCCCATTGGACATGATCACTTTTCTATCTGAGTAAAAAGAAGCAAGAGAAAAAGGATGATAGGAGTCATTTCTTCTCTCCCTAGAAAACACAGATGAGGAGCAATGCTCAGATTTCCAAAAGAGAAGCATTCTATGGGGCATTGCTACATCAACTATACATTTAAAATGTTGAAATACCCCTTAAAATGGATGCATTTTAAATGAGCTTATGAGTTCCAGTTCATTTTAGTATTCTCCAAAATGTAAAAAAGAAAAAACAGAAATTACATGGGTGCATTTTCTTTTCTTTTTAATCCTCACTGGAGGATATTTTTCCCTTGATTTTTAGAGAGAGTGGAAGAGAGAGGGAAAGACAGAGAGAAATATCGATGTGAGAGAAACACATTGATTGGATGCCTCCTGTAGGAGCCCCCATCAGGGCCCGGACCGGGGAGGAGTCTGCAACTAAGGTACATGCCCTTGACCAGAATCGAACTGGGACACTTTGGTCTGCAGGCCGACACTCTATCCACTAAGCCAAACAGGCTAGCGCTACATGGGTACATTTTCTATGGGATGCTAAAGAAATCAGTGGATATTTTCAGCCAAATATATATATTAAAGAATATTTAGATGTTCAAATTAATTGAAAGCTGATCTGGAAAAAAAATCACAATTTTTTAATTAGAGGTCAAAATCTAGCAATCATATAGTCAGCGAGGAATTCTACAATGGGAGTAGGCTCCTGTCATCCCCCAGATTGGTAAGTAACATAGGCACACCAAGGCAATGAGAGCAGGGCTCTGGGAATAAGTATTGCCCAAATTGTTTTATTGTGATACTGAGATCAAATCGACACTCACCAGCCAGGATGTCAGCCTCATCCATGAAACTGGTGCTCAAGAGGATCACGTGGTCTGCTTTGCGCTCCTTGAGGAAGCTCCACACTTGCTGCCTTGAAAAGGGATCCAATCCAGCAGTTGGTTCATCCAATAGCAAAACCTACCGAGGATGATGACATATAAAATATGTCTCTCTCTCATGTTACCGATTTCCTGATGATAGCATGAGTAACCAAAACAAACAGACAAACAAAAACCTATCCAACCGTTTATGTCCAATATACTCATATTCACAGTTAAACACAGCAGATTCTCTCGTGGTACATTACAATGAAAGCACTGCTACTTTCAGAGGTAAAAGAAGAGCTTGGCTTTTCATTGATATTCCATCTGCATTCCTCCCCATGCATAGTGGCTCTTACTTTTGGATCTCCTAAAATGGCAATTCCAAAGGTCAGCTTTCTTTTCTGTCCTTCACTTAAATGTTGAGCAGGGTTATCCTGAATGTTTTGTATGTCCAACTCCAATAGAATTCTTTGTACCTATAGAAAAATATATATGAAGCTTAAAATGCAAGATGACTCATATTGTGCATTTTAACTGTTCATTATAGCAGTAGGGTTTGTTTTTTTTTATAGAACCTCAATGCCTAAATGCTATTCCCAACAGGACAGGTAAATCACTGAGGGGAATTCTGTGGTCATGATTTAACTTTATAAATGGTAGGCAGTTTAAGTAGTCCAAGCATGCCCATCTACCTCTTGATCCACTTCCTGTGGCTGAATCCCTTTAATTTTAGCAAACAGCCTGAGGTTTTCCTTCACAGTAAGTATGTCAAAGTGAACATTGAATTGAGGACAAACACCAGTTATCGTTCTGATTTCCTCCAAGTCTTGCATTTCAGAAAGATTTTTATTGTAGATGGTAACTGATCCTAAAAATAGAAGTGAGAAATAATTTAACATTGGCAAGATAATACATTTTATTGCTGCTTTGGAGATCTTATTCATGAAAATCTTTGCATATATACACAAACATCTAAAACAATGACTTCACAATTTATTAACAACTACTAATTATTCTTAACCTAAATGTGTGCTCAGAGTAGTGTCTATTTCCCCTGGAATAAAAGGTATCAATGGAATAAAGATAATAATTTTCATAAAAATTGGGGAAATATATTTAAAATCATGTATTTCTGGTTAATAACTTTAGATAAACAAACATTATTTTATCTTAAGGAGTCAAATATAAACCCTGAAATGAGAAAGGCTACCTATGACCCCACTCTATTATCAGACATCTTGCCTTTGAGGAACTTCTTTGTGCTCACCTTCTGTTGGAACAGAAAACCCATTAAGGATGTTTAGCAACGAAGATTTGCCAGCTCCACTGTGACCCAGAATTGCTGTGATTTGACCTTCATATATGTCAAAGAGCAAACCTGTTTTTAAAATAAAATATTAACAGCTAAGAGAGCATTAGACAAGGCTGGTTCTAAAGACAGAATAAGAGACATATGCATTTACATATTCATATATACACATGCATGTACAGTGGAAGTAAGTATAGTGTTAATAGTTGGAATTAGAGTTAATTTTTATCTTCAAACAAGAGGAAATCCTTGCAGAAGTTGAAGATGTTTAGACTTAAAAAGTTCACTGTTGTTGATGAGTGCAAAAGTATTACATAATGTGCTCTGGGAACTGAAATAATAAATTTAAAAATACCTCAGTATATCCTTGGCCAAAATTAAGAGAAATCACAAATCTATGGTGTTTGATGAGAAAAACCTGGAGTAAGAATACACTTGCTGATACAAGTACATTAAATTCTCAAAAAAAGCTCTAATCTCAAAGAAATAAGTAAGACTGAGTTAAGGGGTGCTGCATTTTCTAGAAAATAAACACAAAGGACAGAGAACTCTCCATTTTTGGTAAGATCTATGGTTTACTTAAATATTTGTTACAAAAAACTATATTTGTTAGGATATTTAGTATAAGATACGTTGGCTCATTAAAAACTATAAACTATGTCATAGGATATTGGCTTGTGAAACTTCATTCATGGTCAATGGTTTTACTCATCTTGATTTAGTTAATCTCACCAGCACATGCAAACTGTGTGATTTTTCTGGCTAGTATAAAAAATTGATCAATTTTAAGTCTAAATATTCCTTCCTCATAGTGCAAATAAAAGAAAATATTCCTATTGCAAATTCATCTTAAAAAACAAAGTGAACTTGTATTTTTCATTATATGATCCCATTTTTGTAGATCAATATATCCATGAAGCATCCAGTAGGATTTTACATCCAGTTCTTAATTATAGCTAATTTCCACATGGTGGAGCTACATTGTACACTTTTCTTTCCTTTCTCTTTCTGTTTTATCAATCTTTTCTAATTTTTCACATTGACTTTACCCAATTAAGTGCTTTTCTTTACCTTTCAATGCTTCTACTTTTCCAGACTTTTCTTTATATTCTTTTTTAATATTTCTGATTCTGAAATGACAAAAGAGGTGCTTATTTAGACAACACAAAAATAGAAATGATACAGACCATGGGCAACCCTAGATGGATGCAGTCAACCACTTGGTGTGAAAAAAAGGATGGTATTCCCAGTCTACTTGGGAAGACAAAGACTTGTTTTTGATCATTTCCCCATGAAATAGAATAAGTTTCTTTAGAAAGCTGTGATTAAATTATTAGTGTTTTGCTTAGAAAATTAGAATGCTCTGTAATCATCCTCGCTTTCTTCCTTTAGTCTTAGAACATTGGGTGTTTCGCCCCCTCGTTTAGATTAGTGCATGTATCTGCATTCTATAACCATCCTTTCCCAAACCCTGTCACCTGAATTTTCCTGAGAGCTCCTATTTGGCCACGAAATCTGCTTTAGATATGATTGAATTTCTCTCTCCCCTAATCATAAAACAATTCTCAAAATAAAAGTGCAAACTTGATATGTCCACTTCCTCACTTCTCACTTCCTCCTCAATCAATTGTACTCTGGATTCTGAACCCACTACTCTAGTGAACCACTTCACATGGAAATTATCAGTGGCCTCCTAATCACCAAATGCAACAAGTACTTTTCCATCCTTACTTACTGGGTTATGAGTCACCATTCATGACTTCCTCTTTGTTAAAAGTGCCTACTTTCAAGGTCACATTCCATTTTATTGGTTTTCTCTACGTATATTATTGTTCATCTCACTCTAGACTCTGTTGATGTGTTATCTCATTGGTTTTCATGGTTTGAACACCAACCTAATGTTGACTCGGTCCTTGGCCCTGAGATTTAGGCTTACATAGTCAAAGGTTTGCTGGGTTTCTTCATATAAGTATAACACACACACACACACACACACACACACACACACACACACACACACACACTTCTAAATCAGTGGTTGTCGAACTTAATTGCACCTTGGAATTCCAAAGGGAACAGCCTTATACCCATACATCAGTATACTAGTAAGTGTAACTACCTGATGGCCTCCTTTCCTTGAAATTCTGGAGCCATTGGTTCAAAATCATCATCAGAGGTATGCTCCAGATCTGTTTCCTTCTCAATGGTATTATCAATCCTTTGGTGTTGGAAACAAGATGATGAGTTCAGGAAAAATAATGGAGAATAACGGCGCTCATTTCCATCTAATTCATTAAGAAGCAATAAAAATATTGGATCAGTAACATTAAAACTGAGAGAAGAATCCTTGTTCAGAATAGTGAAAATATCTTAGACTTTTAAGCATCATAGAGAAATTCTGTTCTAGCTTCCTGTTACTGAGCATATTATCAAGAAAACTTGATAATTAAGAAATGAAAATCCAAAGGAAGTAACATTATCACAAAAGTTAAAAGAACACTCAACAAAACATAAATCATATTTGAATAAAATATGGTCTAAAATGTATTCAGAACAATGAATAAAACCAAATATTTGGAGGGAAAGCCTTAATATGGCATAAAATTAATTGCAAACATATTTGTGAACTTAATGAAGCATTTGATCACAGCAATATGATTGAGCATAATACTGAAATCTGCATGGTACATAAATTAAAAGTACATAGAGTAATTATATTTGTTTGGGATGAATATATGGTCATTTTCTAGATTAAGAGAAAAAAACCCTAAACAAAGTAGTATTTGTTACTAAGGGCCTTCAAGATATAAACCAGAAGTGATAAAAAGATAGGTATACATCGAAACAATCTTAACTACAAAGTGGAAGGAGTATAAAAAATAAGAAGATAAATAAATAAGAAGACTATGCAAGGAGAAAAGCATTCTGATTCTAGTGTATGTGAAGGAATTCTGGGCATATGTGAAACTTTTGGTTGTTGCAAGATAAAGAAAATCTAACTGGGCAATATGCTTCTGTAAGCATGAACAATACAGGAAGACTTTTCAGAAAGACTCTGAAAATGTCCTAATGTTCATTTTGTGATTTCCTTAAGGGGCAGATATCTCCCTTCTGAAATGCTCTCCCACATATGGAGTGAGTGAGAAAGATACTGATTAGTTCACAACTGAGGTCTAGTTTTATTTAGTTTACAATCTGTCCCACATTCTTGTAAGAAAAACACATTTTTATCAGAAAGTGGTTCCACTGTATTATGGCCCTATACTGTATAAGTCCAAACCATCTGAAGAACTAAGTTATTTCAGCTAGTTCTAAACAGATCCTAAATATCATTATTTGAAAACACTTTCAGGGATCTTGGAAAAAAATATTATTTAATATAACATAGTTATAATATGTATTAAAATGATCATCATTGTCTATTTATAATGTGTACTAGTGGCCCAGTACATGAAATTCGTGCACGGGGGGTGGGGGTTGTTGTCCCTCAGCCTGGCCTGCACCCTCTCCAATCTGGGACCCCTGGGGGGATGTCCGACTGCCAGTAAACCGGTAGTCGGACATCCCTCTTGCAATCCGGGACCACTGGCTCCTAACCACTCACCTGCCTGCCTGCCTGATTGCCCCTAACGACTCTGCCTGCCGGCCTTCTTGCCCCCAACTGACCCCCTCGCCAGCCTGCTTGCCCCCAACTGCCCCCTCCTGCCAGCCTATTCTCCCCCCACTGCCCTCCTGTCCTGGCCTGATCGCCCCTAACCGCCTCTGCCTCAGCCCCGTCACCATGGCTTTGTCTGGAAGGATGTCTGGAAGGTCTCCCGGTCTAATTAGCATATTACTCTTTTATTAGTATAGATTATATTAAAGTCAGAAGAATGATTGTTTTTACATAAATATTTTTTCAGACCTTAAAACCATAAAGTAGAAATAAAGAACTCATTCAGCCTGTGATGGGAAATAATTGTTATTCATCATTTCTTAAAACATATTTATATGCCCTTAAGAAAAAAATCTTTAATGTGATCAACATTTGTAGAGATCAGAGAAAAATCCACTATTACTTACAGGGTAAGATTTTGTCAAAGTATAATGCCAATACCAAGTACCAAAAAGCATCAAAAGCCAACATGAAAAACGTTGCTATCATTATATATGAGTCTCCCGATGGGTCAGGAAAAGTTACACCATTCATGTTATAATCCATGTGGATAATCTAAGAATCAAACAAAAATAATAAATACTTAAATTAAATAAATAAAAATAATGCAGTGCAGTAGCAAGAATTATCACTTTATTGGGTAGCTTTTTGAAGAAGCCCATTAATGAAGTTATTAGGAAACTACTCCTATTTTATAGCAAAGGAACATTAGAAAATACTAATTTTAAAAAATACAGTGGATATTCATGCAGAAACATTAATATTACCTCTACCTAGAGATACACAAAAGTTATTTTGAAAAATATTTTACATCTAAATATAAAAGCAGAATCATTCAAGTTTCCAGAATAAAAAGTTAAAAGAATATCATTATAATCTTGGGGTAGGCAATGGTTTTTTTAAACAGGTATATACTCTATATAAAAGAAAAACTTGACAAACTGATTTTATCAGAATTAAGACCTTCTGTTCGTCAAACAAAGGCACCACTATGAGATAAAAATGTCAGCAACAAATAATTGCAGAATTTCACATATTCAGCATATCTAAGGAATTCCTACAGAACATCAGGAAAAGATAGAAAATGTACCAGAAAAATGGCAAAAAGGCTTGAATCATCAATTTATAAAAATTGGGCGAAGCCCAGGTCCCGGGTGCCAGAGGGAAGCCGGTGCTGGCAACCGGGGGAAGGAAGGCCTACTCTTGCACGAATTTCGTGCATCGGGCCTCTAGTATAGAAATAAGACAAGAAAAGACTTCAAAATGAAAATACATCTGAGATGTGAGCTGACCATTTTTTCCTACAATGTAATAAAATTTTCAAATTTAGCTTTAGAGTAGAACTGTTTAGAACAAAAGCTCTTCATCTGAAAGTGTTGACTATAAAGAGTCGTGAAGTATCAAATTCTTCTGAAACTTTAATAATAAACCAATTAACTATCCTCTCACCTGGGCCATTCCAGCAGTGAAGGCAAAAGGGCTAAAAATACTCAAAATCCACTCCAAAGATGAAGGAAGTTGTCTATGCAATGCAGAGAGTCCCACACCGCCCCAGAAGAGAGTGAGGAGAAGCACAACGAAATTGGTGAGGGAAGTTTTCTTGAGCACCACACTCATCAGGAATGTTAAAGCTATCTGAAAGAAAGAGAAGACAGGTAGCTATTATATAGAATCAGTTCATTGAGAAACATTGGTAGCACAATTTACTAAGGGTCATAACATCTTTATGAGTGAGTCAGTGATGAAAATATTAAAGTATAATTATGCTCAGTCCTTCTTTCTTAATCCTTTGATAAATAGGATCCCTTTTTGTCCTATTCAAATGTTGGGCTTTTGTTGCTGAGGATAGGGTGGGGAGAATTGGGAAGGATTGCTCAGGGAATGGGTGGAAATGCAGACTTGGAAAGATGGGAAGAAACTAAAAGTATCAAAGAGTGTCAACATACCTTCTGCAGGAAACACTCTGAAAGGTGGGAGAAAATAGAGGCTGTTGTTCAAAGAAGGGAGAGGAGATTGACATGAAATATCATTGGCAAGGTGGGGGTATGAGAGCGGCGGTTCTCAACCTGTGGGTCGCGACCCCTTTGGTGGTCAAACGACCCTTTCACAGGGGTCGCCTAAGCCCATTCTACATATCAGATATTTATATTACGATTCATTACAGTAGCAACATTACAGTTATGAAGTAGCAACGAAAATAATTTTATGGTTGGGTCACAACATGAGGAACTGTATTTAAAGGGCCAGAAGGTTGAGAACCACTGTATTAGAGGGAGAAGAGTTGCATAAAGCTACCATGTGATTAGGAAGCTTGGAGAAAAAAGATGGGTTCACTCCTCAAGTGCATCCTTGTTAATCGTCTACAAAAATCTTAGATAATTTAGTCAAAATTTTTTCTTTCTTTTCTTTTTTTGTTATTCCTCACCTGTGGATATTTTTTTCCTGTTGATCTATTTTTAGAGAGAGTGGGAGGGAGGGGGAAAGACACAGAGAGAGAAACATCAATGTGAGAGAGACACATCGATTGGTTGCCTCCCACATGCAGCCTGACCAGGGCCAGGGATTGAGCCTGCAACCAAGGTATGTGCCCTTGACCAGAATCCAATCGAGACCCTTCAGTCTGTGGGCCTATGCTCTAACCGCTGAGCAAAACCAGCTAGGACTATTTTTTTCTTTTTGATGCATTTCATTAATTCAGATCTTTATGTGAAAGTGAGGTCCAACTTTATTTAGGTGACATCATTTTCTCACAGTCAGAGGGACTTTCTCAAACACATGTACACACAAAATGCACATGAAAGAAATGACTGCTGAGACAATTCTTGCTACATATAGACAGCTAAGACCTAAAGCAGAGAAAGTGGTCGTCGTGGCATGAACTTACCAAGGATAAGCCATATAAGAAAAAAAGTATAAATATGACCATGAAGCCCGTCATGACTATAATTTTTCTGGATGTTATGATCATTGCAATGAATATGGAAATAATGAAGATGAAGCCAGCATAGATTAAACCCCAGGAGAACCTAAAGACAAAAAATTATTGCAATTATTTTAATTTTAGTATGAAATACTGGAAACATAAAGTATCTAAAGAATAATGGCATGATTGCCCCTGTGCCTGCCACCTAGATTATTAATTAAAATATCACTAATAATACACTGGCATGGCTGTATCTACTGGGTAGGTGTTAGCTCTATATTCACGTACTGTATAAATAGTATGAACATTGCATAAATAGTATCATCTTGTATGGATTCCCCTACAACTTGCCTTTACCAATCAACATATACAATAGTATACACTGCTGTATAATCTTTCATTAATGACTATATCCCAAAGTTCTCCTGCCCATAATTATTTTGGGTGTTTCTTTTCTTTTTTTTCTAATGCAATGTTTCTAAGAGCATTCTTCTACTTGTCTTTTTTTGGGGGGGGGGGGCGTGGAATGCAAAAACATTTCTCTTAGGTAAAATTGCTGAATTAAAGGGGATGAGTATTTTGTATCTTCAGCTTAATTATATATTACCAACATGTTATAACTGCAGAATTGGAAGGAAACTTGACATTTGTCAATCAATTCAGTAACCATAGAAGGAAGCACTGGGGGCAGATGATAATTTGACCATTCTTGAGATCTTGGCCAGTAGCAAATTCCATAACCCCACTAAGCCCATTCCATTCTTGCCATGCCTATTCATATTTATATAAACTGATATAAATTACGGTATGCCTACAGCGTTCTCAACCTGCGGGCCGCGACTCCTTTGGCAGTTCAAACGACCCTTTCACGGGGGTTGCCTAAGACCATCCTGCATATCAGATATTTACATTACAATTCATAACAGCAGCAACATTACAGCTATGAAGTAGCAACGAAAATAATTGTATGGTTGGGTCACAACATGAGGAACTGTATTTAAAGGGCCAGAAGGTTGAGAACCACTGCCTTAAGAGTTCACACTGTTTGCTTTAGATATGCTGGTGATCACATTTTTATGAGGTGGTTATTAAGAAATAGTATTCAACCTTTGACCTAACAAGCATATAGGGTGTTTTAGTCCAAACTTCTCTTTTTACAGCTGAGTAAACGCAGTCCCTATTATTAGTTAATGGGCCTATTCAAGGTCAACAGAGTAAAACAGTTTAACAAAGCTAAGATGAAGCCAAGGGACTTTGCTCAGTCCAGAGCTCTTTCCTCTACATAAAATTGCCTAAGTAAGAAAGAATCCAAACAGCTGCAAATAACAGCAAAAATATTAAAACTGGAAACTTGCATCAATATGTTCCAGTAGACTATGTTTACTGCTTCTCTGACTTTTTTTGAGAAGTTCAAGATTTATTTATTTTTTAATTGAAATTATTGGAGTAACATTGATTAATAAAATTATATAGGTTTCAGGTATATAATTCTATAACACATCATCTGTATATTGTACTGTGTTTTTTCACCTCTCCCACCCTTCTTTCCCTCTGGTAATAACCATACTGTTATCTGTGTCTATGAGTTACTTGTTTTTTTTTTAATCTTTATCCCTTCACCTTTTTCATCGAGCCCCCCTCAACCTTCCCTTCTGACAGCTGTCAGTCTGTTCTCTATGAGTCTATTTCTATTCTGTTAGTTTATTTGGTTCATTAGATTCCACATAGCAGAGCAATCATATGGTACTTGTCTTTCTTTGACTGGCTTATTTCACTTAGCATAATACTCTCCAGGTCCATCCATGCTAGCACAAAGGGTAAGAGTTCCTTCTTTTTTAGTCGAGTAGTATTCCATTGTGTAGATGTACCACAACTTTTTATCATCTACTGATGGGAACATGGGCTGCTTCCAAATCTTGGCTATTATAAATAGTGAACAGAGGGGTGCATATATTCTTTTGAATCTTTGTTTCGGGTTTCTTCAGATATATTCCTAGATGTAGAACTGCTAGATCATAAGGCAGTTCCAGTTTTAATTTTTGAGGTAACTCCATACTGCTTTTCACAGTGGCTGTACCAATCTATATTCCAATCAACAGTGCATGAGGGAGGAAAACTAACGAGAAAATAAACAAATGGGACTACATCAAAATAAAAAGCTTCTGCACAACAAAAGAAACCACCAACAAAATAACAAGAAAGCCCACTGCATGGGAGAACACATTTGCCAATGTTATTTCTGATAAGGGTTTAATCTCCAAAATTTACAGGGAACTCATACAACTTAACAAAAGGAAGATAAACAATCCAATAAAAAAATGGGCAAAGGATCTAAATAGACACGTTTCACAAGAGGACATACAGAAGGCCAAGAGATATATGAAAACATGCTCAAAGTCACTCATCATCCGAGAGATGCAAATCAAAACGACAATGAGGTACCATCTCACACCTGTCAGAATGGCTATCATCAACAAATCAACAAACGACAAGTGCTGGAGAGGATGTGGAGAAAAAGGAACCCTCTTGCACTGCTGGTGGGAATGCAGACTGGTGCAACCACTGCAGAAAACAGAATGGTTTCCTCAAAAAATTAAAAATGGAACTCCCATTTGGCCCAGTAATCCCACTTCTAGGAATATATCTCAAGAAATCAGAAACACCAATCAGAAAGAAATATGCACCCCTATATTCATAGCAGCACAATTTACAATAGCTAAGATTTGGAAACAGCCTAAGTGCCCATCAGCAGATGAGTTAATTAAAAACGGTGGTACATCTACACAATGGAATACTACGCTGCTGTAAAAAAGAAGGCACTCTTACCATTTGCAACAGCATGGATGGACCTGGAGAGCATTATACTAAGCGAAATAAGCCAGTCGGAAAAGAGATAAATATCACATGACCTCACTCATTTGTGGAATATAATGAACAACATAAACTGATGAACAAAAATAGAGCCAGAAAAAAATATACTCTAGAATATAATAGAGGTAATCCTATGATTTGCAGATTTTTAATATTTCCTACAACTTTTGTGGTATTATACTATTTTAGTACAGTTTTGGTAATATTGTAATATTTAAAATCTTTTTTCTTAAAATATTAATGTTTATTGCATGTAACATTATATTTAGTTTTTCTTGAAATATCAATGTTTACTGCATGTTACATATTTAAAATCATGTTTCTTGAAATATTAATGTTTATTGCATGTGAATGGCTAATTATTTTGTATCTACAATCTGGCAATAGATTTGTATATTGTATAAAATTAAATAAAAATAAAAAATAATAAAATCTCTAAAAAAAAAAGACAACAGTGCATGAGGGTTCCCGTTTCTCTACATCCTCGCCAACACTTGTTGTTTGTTGATTTATTGATGACAGCCATTCTGACAGGTGTGAGAAGATATCTCATTGTGGTTTTAACCTGCATTTTTCTGATGATCAGTGATGTTGAGCATATTTTCATATGTCTATTGGCCACTTGTATATCCTATTTGGATCCTTTGCCCATTTATTAATTGGACTGTTTGTCTTATTTTTGTTTTTTGGTGTTGAGTTGTATAAGTTCTTTATTTCTTTATAAATTTTGGACTTTAACCCTTTACCAGATGTCTCTTTGGTGAATATGTTCTCCCATTCAGTGGGCTGTCTTTTCATTTAGTTGATGGTTTCTTTTGATGTGCAAAAGCTTTTAAGTTCCATGTAGCTGCATTTGTTTATTTTTTCTTTTGTTTCCCTTGGCCAATGAGGTATGTCAGAAAAAATGTTGCTATGAGACTTTTTAAATTTCATGTCTTTACAATGATTCAGCCTGACTGGAAACATCAGCATTTTTTAAAAAGCATAATATGTTCTGCAGAATCCACTTCCTGAGAACATAAGGAACTACAATAGGTAGGAATTGAAAAACCACAGGGTAGGGGAATTACAAGTACAGGAAACTCAAACATTATCTAGAACAAGGAACTCATTGCAGAGTTGGGGGTAGGGGGTGAGAGAGATGTTATTAAAGTCAATAAAAACTTCACCATGAAAACAAAACAACTCAGACATCACATTTAACTCATATGTGGAATCCAAAGAACAAAATAAACTGATGAACAAAATTGATCCAGAGACATAGAAACATGGAACAGATTACCCATCTCAGAGGAAAGGCAGGAGTGGGTGAGTGAGTGGAAAGAGATTAACCAAAGAATATGTATACATATATGCATAACCCATGGACACAGACAATAGTATGGTGAAGGCCTGGGGTCGGGGGTAGGTGTGGGATAGAAGGGGTCAATGAAGAGAAAAAGGAAGCATCTGTAATATTTTCAACAATAAAGATAATTTTTTTTTAAAAAAAAGAATAAATACTGATTGCATTTCACATTCATTACATAAGTTTTTAAAAGCTGTCATAAAATTTATTTGCAACAGACATCCTATACTTAATGAAAAGTTTCAGAATCTATTGCCTTCTTAGTTTTAAGTTACATGCATACTGGGAATCCTTTTAAGAAGCATTGATCCTGAGAATGAATCCACATCTAAATATCCAATGCCTTTCCGATGCTGATCTAGAGTTGACTTGGTCCTACCTATTTCAGGTGACTGCAGAGGTGCTGTTCCACAAGACATGCCCTGGACTGAGAGAGTGTCTTTTCATACAGAGCTCCTGTCTTTTCCCTCCTCACAGACTCCATCTATTCCTTTGTATTCCCCAAAGTTCCACTACAAAATATTCTTCTCCTCTTTCCTTTTTATTGAAAGACCCAGTTTTCTCTTCTTCTATTTCACACATTATATTGCATAGGAAATGTAAAAATTCCTAGACCATACTTTTTAAAAACATTTTTTTAAATATATATTTTATTGATTTTTTACAGAGAGGAAGGGAGAGAGATAGAGAGTTAGAAACATCGATGAGAGAGAAACATCGATCAGCCGCCTCCTGCACATCTCCTGCGGGGGATGTGCCCGAAACTCAGGTACATGCCCTTGACCGGAATCGAACCCGGGACCAAGGGCATGTACCTGGGTTGCGGGCACATCCCCAGTGGGAGATGTGCAGGAGGCGACTGATCGATGTTTCTCTCTCATCGATGTTTCTAACTCTCTATCTCTCTCCCTTCCTCTCTGTAAAAAATCAATAAAATATATTAAAAAAAAAAAAAAGAAACATCGATGAGAGAGAAGCATCGATCAGCTGCCTCCTGCACACCACCTGCAACCAAGGTACATGCCCTTGACTGGAATCGAACCTGGAACCCTTCAGTCCCCAGCCGGATACTCTATCCAGTGAGCCAAACCGGCTAGGGCCAAACTTTTATTTCAGAGGACATGTGGCTTGCAAAAGATTGTTCAATAAATAGTTCCTCATCTATCCCATATAGTTTCACATTCCTAAGCAGTATCTTCTGGACACGAGGATTATACAGAGACATGTCTCCTAGGTTTCAATACTGAAAAACATCAGGGGTCTTTGGGGGTGAAATTAATTAACCTTTTTTCTTTTCCTAGAGACTATAGACTTTATAACTGACTGCACTGCGGAATTCTCTGCTTGGACTCTCGGCAGTTAGAGCTTCTATGATTTGAATTTTCATCTATCAAATCTTACCTATTATTTTGCTAGGTCTTTGCTTCTATTCCTCAATTATTTGTTTTTATTTTATTATTATTTATTATTACTATTATTATTATTTTTAATCCTCACCCGAGGAAATGTTTATTGATTTCAGAGAGAGAGGAAGGGGGAGAGAAAGGGAGAAACATCAAAGCCACCCAGCCAGGGCTGTTCTTATTTTAATACAAACACGCACACAGAGATACATACACACTTGTATTTCAAAATTTCATAATCAGTTTAAACTATTCATGGCATAAGCCCTGCTATGTGCCAGCCTATGTGCTGCGTGTGTTGGGAACATTCCATAGGCTATCTCTTTTAATCCCAACACATGATATTTAGTTGCTCAAAAATACTCCTGATGGCCCAACCTCTGCACACAAGCTAGCCTTTATTAGGTCATACTTTCTTCAACACAAGGAACTGTAAAGAAATCCAATGACAACGGTGGGCAGAGCTAGCCAGAGAGTTGCAATAAGGGAACCTGGGTTGTAGTCCCAGCTCTGGCAATCATTGGCCAGTGGACACTGGGCTACTCTTACTCTCTTTGATGAGTATAACAGTGTTAGCTTAACATACTCTGGCACAGAAAAAGTGCTCAGCAAATTAGAATAACTGTTTTGCACGGCAAAATTTAATAAAGACTAAATAAAGTCAGAACAGAAGGAAAATGGCCAATGTATCGAGTTTGATGTCTTGAAATGGTAACACTTTTTCACTGCTTCTTCATGTCTCTTACTCAACTGTGCTGTTTGAATCTGTCACTCACCAGAATGCTGAATCTTGTAGACCCATCATTTTCATCAAATCCTTACTCTTTTTTCTCTCTTTGGTAACACCGAATGATGCGAAATATATAAACGAGGAGAAGTAAAGCAAGCATTGGAAAATAAACATCTCATTTTGAAGTAAGTCTTTAGCAATAAAAGGTAATGTCTTCATATTTATAGCAGTGACTGACATCAGCTCTTCCATCACAGAGTGATCTGTCAGGATCTTAAATAAAAGAGTTTAAAGAAACAAAATCACTTTTTAAAGTCAAGAATCAAGAAATCAATAAGCTATGGGGATTGTACCAATGTCAACTTCCTGGTTTTAATACTGTCCCATGGTAATGGAAGACATTACCAGTTGGAGAAACCAAGCGAAGGACACGCAGACCTCCCTGGACATTGTTTTTGCAACTTCCACTCATTCCGTAACTACTGGAAATTTTAAAGTAAAAAAAACAAAAGCAATGTGGTCCTTTGCCTAAATCCCATTTCACCCTACATATACCTGATTCCTTATAGAACCGTGTGGAAACCTGAGTGTGTATCACCTTTCATCAACGTTTTGATGCTTCAGGCATTAATTTGCATTATTTATTAGAACTTTTCTTACTTCTATAATAGCAGCATCAATCGCAGCTTGCAAAGTCACAAATCCTGAACTTAAGTATTTGGTCAGTGAACATGATGGCTCATTTCCTGAATTCCAGCAATGAGCTGTAAAGCACAGAGAAGGGCAGAATCATTATTACGGGATGAAGGCACTTTGAGAACAAGAAACAAGAATCTAAGAGAAAACAATCTCGAAGGGGCTCCACCAGTCAGAACCTTCAACCACATAGAAAAATAAAAATAAAAGAAGCAAATTAAAGTTCTCAATGAGGCAAGTTTATTCATGGAGATCATAGCTTGCATAGGGAGCTTAGAAAAAGATGAAAGCTTCAACCATACTGGACCCCTTGCTGTGCCTGGAAACACCAAATGCAATCCAGGGCTAGAACTTCTTTTGTGCTCAAACACTCTCACTCTAGGAATTCATGGCGCACTCCTTCCCTCCACCCTGCCCTCTTCTAAAAAGTAAACTCATTATAGACATCTTTCCTGGCCACCATCAATAAGAATATCTAAAATAGCTCTTTCAGGCTCTATCTTCCATGCCTGCTTTATCTTACTCTATTGCTTTATTGCCACCTGACTGTAATGATCCGTGCTAGAAGGCTTATCTAAGTATGTTTTCTTCACTTCAATCTTCAAGGCCAAGAAAAATGCGAAACACACAGTAGACCATCAGTGAAGGGATGGAAAAAAACCAATTCTATTAGTCACTTCAATTCTTCTTTTTTTAAATTTTATTTTAAAATATTTTTATTGATTTTTTTACAGAGAGGAAGGGAGAGGGATAGAGAGTTAGACACATCGATGAGAAAGAAACATCGATCAGCTGCCTCCTGCACACCCCCTATTGGAGATGTGCCTGCAACCAAGGTACATGCCCTTGACCAGAATCGAACCTGGGACCCTTCAGTCTGCAGGCCGATGCTCTATCCACTGAGCCAAACCGGTCAGGGCCAATTCTGCTTCTTAAGGGGTCCTCAAATATCTTCCTCTTTCTAAGCTGCCTCCACTCTGTCTAAGCCACCATCAGCTCACTGGTACGTTTTATTGCATTCTCCCTGACTCCTCTGCAATCATCCTCAAGGCTATATCCACACTGTTACCTTAGACTCGGAAGTCTAATCACGCTTCTGCCCTGATTACTGTACCTGGATGGCTCTCCATTGCCCTGGGATTAAAGGACCCTACAGGATCTAGACTTTGAGTAATTTCAGCCTTATTCTCCCATCACATTCCTTCTTGTCTTCTCTATTCAGTTATACTGCTCTTGTTCTATATATATTAGCTGATGTCCTTCACTTCTGGGCCTTCAGAAGTATATGTGCGATTCCTTCTGATGTTTGTTAAAACATCATTTCCCCACATATGACTTCTCTAATCCCAAGCATATTAGAAACCCTTGGTCCAAGTCCCTTCAAGGACTTTCCCTTGCACTTACTATTAATGTATCTCAATATGTCTGTTCTGCTAGATTGGGACCAATCACTCTTGGTCACCCTCTGCATCCTTGCAGTATCCACCTGAGAGCTCACTATATACAGATGTTGGGTGACTCTATAATTTTTTGTGCATCATCCTACAGTGGGATAATATGATTGACCTTGGGAAAAGGTAAGCAATAACATGTGCTTTTGAATGTTCTCATACGCCATTGAAAGCATCTGTGTTGACCATGCCAACCTGTTCCTTATGCAAAAAACATGAAAAACATCATAATGATATTTTATAGGGAAAATCACCTGATAAATGGTCTCCCTTCAAAAATGGAATGCCATAGCTATGAAGAAATTTTAACTCATAAGAGAAAGTATCACTAAAGATGACTCCCACTGCACGTGGGAAATGGTTCTCAAGTAGTTCGTCCATAGATTTTTGATTTGGTGCCCCAATGACTGTTGTTTCTGTAAATTACAAAGCAAAAACAGATAAGATAATGGTAAGTCTTAGGGCAAGTTTTAGGTACATAAAAGATTATACCAGGATAAGTATGCATAAGAAAGGATAATTGGTATGCATAAGAAATCAGAGTTACTGAAGCAAAGACATCTCTCCTATGATCTTTGCTTTACTTAGGAACCAAGAGCACAAAGTGACTCTATATCTAACAGCTAGGAGTTTTACCTGTTAAAAATTAAGGCTTAAAAATCAGGTACCCAGCTCACCCATGAAATACACATTGTGCTTATCTCAGTTATATAGCAACCTCATTTAGAATGAAGGCCTTAAAAGATGCTTACCAAAAAAACACCTGATACAGATTATCTTTAGACTATCCATCCTTACTTATCATAGGTTTAAAATTATTGTTTAATAACTGTGGCCTAACTTATTTTAGATGATTATTTTTCCTAGGTTACATAAATCTTAATCATTGTATTCCTGCTTAACACCCACATACTCTTTCTTGACACTGCAAATCTGGAATGACAAATGTATTGCTTTAGTTAAATTCCATTAGAAATGAGGCCTCCCTAAACTGGACCCCCATCAAGCTGAAAAAGGGTTTGATAGGCTAATTGTTGTTAAAGAAGAAACTAACCAAATTTATATACTATTTTAATACCTAAATAATTAGCTTAATGGGTCACTGTAACTTCAAATTTAACATATACACATCTTTCCCAAAATTTAAAACAGTATCAGTAATTCCTTTGTCTTGAGTATACTTACCTTTCAAAAAGGGAGCAGATACTGTTTTATTCATTATCTGCTTGGTTATATTGGAGACCGGTGTATACACAGCAAACGGGAAAGAGTTATTATATTTGTCTACCCTTCCCAGGTTCTGAGAAGGCTTTCCAGGAAACTGGGTATTGTATTTTGTAGATGACAATAAGCCCATATATAGTCCTAGAAGTACTGGAAATCCCCATTCCTATAACACAGGGGGGAAAAAAAACAAATTTATGTTATATTCCCTTAAAGAGCTCAATTGACACCAAACAACTAAAGACAAATTCCAATGTTGCCACAGCATTGGCTTCTTTTGCTCTCCGTCAGAACAAAAGGAACCCAATGAAAGACACATACTGATCAATGTGCAGATGATGTTTTGTTGAGTTGTACACTTGAAACCTGTATGGTGTTGTGAATCAATGTCACCCCCAATAAATTCAATTTAAAAAAAAAGAAAGAGACATACTGAGAAAGTTGCCACAGATATCATTCTCCACTAATACAACTACACCTTTTCTCTAAATCATGAACCAATGGAGAGCATAAGATAAAAGGATGACAATCTCTGTATGTGTGGGCATCTGATTCTAAACTCTGCGAGACACAGATTATCCCAGGTAAGTTTTATGGTGGCAAAGAGCAATATCCTTGTCAGTTGTCAAGGAAATCAAAGAAAATGAAAAGGAACGGAGTGGTAGAGACTGTCTAGTGTTTCACATTATCAGTAATCTCTTCCCGCTTGGCACAATGCTAGACTCTATTTCCAGCCTCTCAAAATCAGGTGGGACCAAGTGAGTCAGTTACAGCCCATGGAATGTGGGCAGCAGTGATACAGGCCACTTCCAGGCCTGGGTCACGGAACACAACCTAGTCCTTCTATTCCTGATCTTTGACTGGATGCGCTGGATCCAGGGAAGGTCTCCAAGGACCAAGGAGAGGGCAGAGTCCCTAGATGAAGAAGCCTGGGTTCCTAAATGACTGTGTGGAGAAGATCCCTTCACCCACCCAACCCACTTCACTTTCCTGCCAACCTTATTTAGGCTGTAAAAGGAGTGAAGCCGCTGCGGTTTGGGGCTGCTACCTGTAGACAGCCCACCTACCTAATTCAAACTGACAATCAGTGATGTTCCTTGGTCATAATTCTTAGAAATAGTCTCTATGTAGATGATTCATGGCCTTGAAAATAAATCCCTAAAATTAAAATTCTTTCATTTCTGCCAGGCACTACTTTTCTTCTTTCTTGACTCTAAATGTATTACATGCAAATTATAGTAGCTTTAATAGTTGTTGCAATTTATCATATAATTAAATTTTCACTTGACCTCATTTTTGAAAAAAAATGAGTAAATACTTTGTCTTTACAATTTTACATTATTTTTCTGGAGTGCTGTGAGTCTCGCAATTCAACAAATACAACGAGAGACAACTTCAAAATCAATACATCCAGTCTGTTACTTAAAATATAAAATGAGAATCGTTAAGCAATGAAATACAATAACGTTGACTGTAGAAAGAAGAAAACTGTCATACGTACCAGTAAGCTCTCTCTTTTCATCCTCCACTTCTTAAGCAAATTTTTGCACAGAAGTGCTTGAGTTTGTTGATACACATTTTTCTTTTTCCTGTTCATTTAGCCTATTCAATTAAATGAACAAGAAGAAAGTAATCATTGTGGAGCATAAACTAGAAAAAAGGTGTAATAAGAAAAACCTTGATCATATGGGGGTGAGGAATATTTCCTACCTTTAAGAACTGAAAAAAAATGGATTTAAAATATTTGAATAACTCATGATTATAAAATTATACATCAAATATACGCACTGTAAGTTATTTGGTGGAGAAGTCAAATGATTATCGTCACAACTTTACAATAATGAAGTATTACAATGGAAAAGACATCATTAGATACCAGAGCCTATAAGATACTTCACATTTTTGACCTTTCATAATGGAAATTCAACTATATGAATAGCATATCTGAATTGTATCTTATATGACTAATAATTTTTTATTCTTTGCATTTAAATAGAAACTCCAGTATTTATATCAAATTAACATCAAACTTCTGATTAAATTCATCTGGATAATTATGTCCATGAGATGTAACCCCAATGAAATATTTTCTTGTGGCATTTACCTTCCAGACTGACTTGAACAACTTTTTATCAAAAGAGATAGGCCATAGGGTAATAATCTAGACTCAAACTACTTGACACTTGATTTTAATACACAGGAAGAATGAAACAATTTATCTCAATTTTCTGAATTCTGAAGTCCCTGAATAACTGAGGAAACAAACTACAAAGCATGTTTTAGAAAAAAGAAAGAAAAGAAAAAAAATCACATGGGAAAGTAATTTTGCCCAAATGTTGGCAAGTAAACCAAGAGATAATTTTTTTCAGTTTTTGAAATCTCAAAATTTCAGATTTGCATATTAAAATATTCAGACAATTCTCTCTCCACTAGCATAGAAGCAAATTTTTACTATTTTCCTTTATTCTACTCTTGTGTCTATATAATAAACTTGGTTGGGAAAAAATAGAAAAATTTTATCATAAATCACGTAAGTATTTAGAAAAACATCTGAAAAATAGATTTATTTTTTTTCTTTATTGATTAAATTACATGTGTCCTTATCCCCCCATTGTCTCCCTACCCCCCCACTCATGCCCTCACCCCCCTGGTGTGTCTGTGTCCATTGGTTAGGCTTATATGCAAGCATACAAGTCCTTTGGTTGATCTCTCCCCGCCGTGTCCACCTACATATTTGACATAACACCACAAAACAGAGCTCTACTTACTGAAAAATCAGAAGTACTCTTGAAAACACTCTCAAAGCACTGTTCTCTTTTTGTCTGAGGCAATGATTAAAAATTTTTGATCGCCACTTCTTCATTTATTCCTTAAATGGGTACCCACTCCCAACATTTCTTAACTCAGGCTGGTTTCTGAAAAGGGGTGTAGTCAGACTAAGTTGCACATGATGAACTTGTTTTCTTTTCTTCCTTACGCCAATTATTCTGCACGGAAATGACCGTTCTGTGGTTGGTTGAGAATAAAACAAACCCTGTTTTTGTGCACTTGGCCTTTCAACTCCAGGGCTCTGGGGAACAATGGTAAACAAATGCAGCGAGTCCTTCAGACGTGATGAATAAAGATGGGAGGCGGGGAAGAACCATGACTGAGTAAAATCAATAACTAAGCAAAGTAAATTTGTATAAGGACTCTTTAGCTATTTTTTTCACTCCTAATGCCTAAACACAACTACCAATGATACATTTGACTATTTTAGATGAAATATGCACAATGTGCTGGAGTCGAATTTCTTTTTTTGCCTAAGAAAGCTAAGCAATCCATAGTTTGCCATGGAGAAACACCTAAGTTAGACAAATGAGTAATAAACAGAGTCCTTTTCCCGCCTCGGTTCATAGTGAATGCTGAATTTCATAAGGCAATAGAACATAATAAAAAAGTAGATTTCTAGGGACTATAAAACATAGAAGAATAAAAAAAAAAGATTTGGGTCAATTTTTATGCATGACAACCAGGCAAAAAAGTTGAAATTTGTTCAACTGTTACTGCATAGTTTATCTCTCCCTGTAAAGAGTTGCAAACTTTTCTTGACCCAGCAAAGTAAATGACAAAACAGGAAACCAAAGTCCATGAATTGGGAAATCTCAAATATTGGACATGGCTCCTGATCCACAGATGTTAATAATCATAAAACTGAGAGATGTTCTGGAGAACAGGTGGATCATTTTAGTTCTACTTTTACAAATAATCAACAGTGAAATATTACATGTCATTTATATTTAAACTTGGCAAAAAAGAAAGGTAATAAAAATGTTCTAAAGTTCTCATAGATGGGGGCAGAGGAGCAGGACATAGATACTATTAAAACTTTATATCAGTAATAGGTCAAGGGTCCAAACAAAAATTCTAAGTTTGTTTTAAATCACCTGAAATATATTTCAAGTTTTTATTCATTTTGTTATTGTTTTAGACCCTATCTACTCTATTTTAAAAATCATTTTCCCACCCTGCCTTTCTCATAAATGTATTAAAATTCACAACTACAATGTCAATAATTATTCAGATTACTAGTAAGTATTTTGCTAGTTTCACTTTTTATCATTGATTTTTTGTGTGTATTCTTTGTGTTCCTCTTTCTTGACTTAGTTACTGTAATTTATTTTTATTTGGGGGCCCTTTTCCATGACTTCCCTATAAATTTGACCTAATTTGTTAAAGAAGTGTCTAACCTCCAGCTAGAAGCACATGGAAATGGTGGGTAAAATATATCCAAAATAGATGTTCAGATATATAACCAAAACCTAAAAGAAGAAAAAGATAAAGAGAAGAAAATAAGAATCAACAAAAGAAACAATGAGAAATAAAAAACAAAACAAAACACATTCTCGGGTGTAAAAGGGGGGAAGGGAAATTAAAGCTCGAACTGTGAGCATGTTAGAAATCCAGCAGTCCAAAGAGGTGTTTTCATACCCTTGTGACCTGAACGTGGTGCCTGGCAGGTTCTGAAGCTGGCCTCCTGTCTCCACATGAATCCAGAAGCTTCACAAGACTGTTCAGCATTAGAAATAGAGACTAGAAAGACTTCACCTACTACTCCAACGGAAAGTAAGGATGTATTATTTGCCAATCTCTAGATTAAAAAGGAAGTATCTTCCATAGAAAATGAAACCCAAGCATATGTAGCACATGTCAGATAACAGGACACAGAAGCAGGAGCTGAATTTATTCTCCCTGCATAGCAGCATGCTTAAGAACAATATCATAGCAGTTAGTGCATGTACTTGGGTTCAAATTCTGGCTATGCCATAGCTGTGTGTCCTTGTATCATCTATTTAACTTTTCTTCCTCAGTTTTTCATCCAAACTGCCCAGCCAACATGCCTCAGTTGATACATTTTTAATAGTTGTTGCAATTTATCATATAATAAATATGAACTAGGAGGTCACGGTTCAATTCCTAGTCAGGGCATATATGTCTGGATTGCGGGCTTGATCCCCGTGTGAAGTGTGCAGGAGGCAGCCGATCAATGATTCTCTCTCATCATTGATGTTTTTTTCTCTCTCTCCTCCTCCCTTCCTCTCTCTGAAATCAATAAAAATTTATTTTAAAAAACTGTGGTAACCGTATATATGTATGGTTACTTGGAGGATTAAGTTCATTAATATAAGTTAATAGGACAGTGCCTGGAACATTGTAAAAGCTCAAAAAATAAAACACATCACAACCACATTACTTGTGGCCAAAATGCCTCTTCCTCCTCCTTTTCCTCTTATTACCACTATTATCCCAAAACTCCACAGAGAAGACAAAAGAAACCTATAAAGATACGTCAAGAATACAAGACACACAGATATAGCAGCTAAGCTCATAATCAAAAGTTAACTATGAAAGATAATCAGCAGACAAAAACAATGGGACTATTAGCAACCTCAAAAATTAAATAATAATAAATATTATGCCCAACACTATAAAATATATAAAGTATTAAAGAAGAAAAACAGGAGAAATGAAAAGAAAAAGTAATAGGAAAATAACCCATTAGAATTTATAGGAATTTAACAAAGGATTAAAAAATTAAGCTTAAAAACTTAGTAGATAAGTTTTATAGATTAGACACAGCTGAAAAGAATATTAATAAACCATAAATATATCTGAAGAAATCATATAAAATTTAGTGCAAAGCAAGAATAAAATGGAAAAATATTTGAGACGTTAAAGGATATGAAAGATAGAATGAGGGTGTCCAGAATATGTCTAATAGGTATTTTTAAATGAGGAAAATAAAGAATAAGTAAAAAGAATGCTCAAGGATAAAATGTATAAAAATTTTCCAGAACTGAATTTCAATTCCAAAGGGTCTGGGTATCACTGACCTTATCTATCTTTTTTACCTTTTTCACCCATTTGCCATTTTAACAATTTTAAGTGTACAAGTCAGTGACATTAATGACATTCACAATATTACACAACCATCATCACTATCTAGTTCCAAAACTTCATTACAGGAAACTTTGTAAGCATTAAGCAATCACTTCCCCATTTACCCCTTCTTCTTCTTCTTCTTGCTCCTGGCAAGTACTCAACCACTTTCCATCTCCATGAATTTGCCAATTCTAGATATTTCATATGAGTGCTCATATTAATACAATATGCATGCCTAGTTTATTTCAAGAAAACTTTAGGTTTTATTTCACCAGTTTTAAAAAAACAAATGGATTGAGACATTGAAAATTCTAGGCAATGAGAATGGCCACTCATTTTACTTGCAACCATTAGTATGTTTTACCTAATTGGTTAGCTCTTTCATGGCACGTGCTTCTGTATTCATCCCATCAGGATTTTGCACTGTTCTGCCTCAAACACTGCATGTTGCAAAGATTTATCAGTAAGCAGCTACCTGTGCCCTCTGCCTCCACCAACCTACCGTCTCACTGCTGCTTCTGACTTGGCTTTCAGGTTGGCTTCTCTGCCAGTTGCTCTATCTTCTTTATCCATTCATTTCCTGAAGGATGCTTAAGCTGTTTTCACTCCTTGGCTATCATGAGTAATGCTGCAATGAACATGGGCATGCAGGTATCTTATCACTATCCTGCTTTCATTTTCTTTGGTGATATACCCTGTAATGGAATTGCTGGAACATATGGTAGTTCTGTTTTTAATTTTCTGAGGACTCTCCATACTCTTTTCCACTATGTACCAATTTGCATCATCCCCTCCAACAGTACACAGGAGTTCTCTTGTCTCCACAGCCTCAACAACACTTACCATCTTTTATCTACTTGACAATATAGGCTGACTTTTTCCATCTGGATTCCCGAACCCCATTAAATTAGTATAAATTCTATCCCCAACCACTTGAGTATGGCTCTGACTTTTCTTTCTCAAGTCCCGTGTCTGGGATAGCTACTCCAGGTAGTGGGTACTGTGCATCACATCCCCAGTCAACTTCAGACACCTTCTCTGATCCCAGTCTCAGTCTTTGGGATTTATATCCAGGTTCAATATCCTGCTGGGCCACAACACAAGCTGGAGCTTATTGCTCTGGTGGTGTTAAAGTGGTTTTGTTTTATTTTATCCAGAATTTCATGTGTTTGCAATGGGAGGAGGATCTGTGTTCAAAGGCATGAACTATGTGGGTGAAACTCTATGTATGGGTTTTACGGAATATGACAAGCTGGGGCTAACCAGCTTCATACCTGCTTCATGGGAAAACAGCCCTCCTGAGGGATGACAGCCCAGGCTGTTCTTAACAGAAGGCTGACCATAATTTGTACCATGGAAACAAGACCATAGCACATTTCATCCTATGTGTTGCTGACTGTACAAAGCTCAGCTCAGTCCAGCCAGCATGGCCAGGAGGTCACGGTTTGATTCCCCATCAGGGCACCTGCCTGGGTTGCAGGCTCAATCTCCAGTGTGGGGCATGCAGGAGGTAGCTAATCAATGATTCTCTCTCATCACTGATGTTTCTCTCTCTCTCCCTCACCCTGCCTGTCTGAAATCAATTTTTTAAAAATGCTCAGTTCATGCCCTGACCAGTTTGGCTCAGTGGCTAGAGTGTCGGCCTGTGGACTGAAGAGTCCCAGGTTCGATTCCGGCCAAGGGCATGTACCTTGATTGCGGGCACATCCCCAGTGGGGGGTGTGCAGGAGGCAGCTGATCCAAGTTTCTCTCTCATGAATGTTTCTAACTCTCTATCCCTCTCCCTTCCTCTCTGTAAAAAATCAATACTATA